TTAAGATCGATCTTATAATCATAAAGAAAACAACCCAAAGCGGGGCAACAAATTACTTTAGCACACTTAACGGGAGAGACACTCAACTGAGGTGATTTACAGTACAGCGGAAAAGTAATTTTCGTCCGATATATAGCTGATTTATCTCCCCAAAATATCTCTACAGCGATATGACAAAGAGCGCTCAGCACGTTATCTCTACTTAAGCGAGATATCACTTAAACCCGATAAAGACCCTGATGGAAACACATGCACTGCGACACGGAGCTTCGACTATTTCTTGATTTTATTGACAATATTTAGATTGGAACGAACTCAAATTGACGACCTTATGAATTTCATAACTCCCTCCATAACAGGATGGCAATCCGATTATTAAAAGAAAAAAAAACAAAGGTGAATTCTGTTTTATTTAAATAATTTCTAGTCATTTAGGTCTAGTTTCTTTTCCATCTTGATTGCTATCTCAGAAATAATTAAGTTTGTGTGCAGTACGAATATAAACTGAGTGTGACATCCATTGAAATGTCAGACCGGGTTTTAAAGGTCAGAGTATGCGCCATTTAATTACATTTAAGCAAGTCTTTCTCACAATTTTATCGATTGCCATTTATCTAGCAACACATTCGGACGGAAGCAATTTGAAGTTGTAGAATAGAGAATCCAAAACGGCAACTCCATTGTCCTTCATAATACAATGTACAATGATGCTTGGTTTTTAAATTGTGGCTGGTTGATAGCCGTCCTCAGAGAAATATTAGTTGGAGTTTCTTGTTTGCTCAAATCAGCAATCCTGCAAAAAGAACCTTGCTCATTCTCGGAATTTGTCCGTCATGACTGTTTCGGCTTTGGAGACTAGCCAAGGGCTAGGAAAATTCAATAAATCAGGATTGCATAACGTTTCATTTTAATATCCCAGAGACATGAGTCACGCTATTCGCAATGGGGATGATATACACCCATCCGGGCGATTCTCTCATATGTTAAGCGCAGAAAAACATTCTAAAGAGCGAGAGGATGGTGTTTCCCAACCATTTTCAATGAATAAGCCATTTAACATTGCAAGAGTATTGTGTTTTGGGCGAAAATTGTAATACTGATAATGACTTGTAAGTGAGTATATTTGGAAACATTTGGAGGCTGGCTTTTCAGTCTTCAGATCCAAGAAGTTCTCGAGATCTAGAACTGCTTGTGGCAAGCAAAATAATGAGAAAGACCTTAATTGAAACCGTTGGACTGTCACAGATAGGCTCAGATAAATTATGCCGTCATAATCATGGGTATACTGCTTTAGTCAGAGAGGATGGAGCATAATTCCGGCATAATTACGAAAATTCTTGAGCGTAAATACGTGAAACTGCGTTTCTAGTACTTTTACAATAATGTTTTCAGGGTCGTTTTCAACATAAACGTCTCAAATGCCGTTTCTACCACTCCTCTTTACCTTTTTTAGGCTAGACAGTTTTATTTGCGTCAAGAGATAAAGGTTAAATTTAACAGGCCACCAAGCAATCTTTGAAACATGACTATCACAACGATGTTTTCCTCAAAGCAATCAGTGATCTTAAGGAAAGTATTAGTCATTTCCATCAGCGATGAATCCTCTGTTCAGTTTTAGGTGACAAAGATAGTCAGTGTATGCAAATTCCAAAGTATGTTTTGAGGTTGTGGGAGTCTGTTCGTTTGTTTGCTGAAACGTCGTGTGCAAATCAAAACTCAAAACATCGCTTGGCGTTTTAAAACGAACAAACCATTTTGACGATTTCAGATAGTAAATTTGATTGATTATGACTGTGGACGAGTACCTCACGTTTTTATTTTCCAATTTGCTTTTTGCGAAGAATTATTGAATTACAAACGGTTTTTAGGCCGCGTGTCAACCGTTTAATAACTCATAATTAGCTACCACGAATATTCATTTCGAAACCAATTGTTTAAAAGAATCTAAACTGATTTGAGAAAGAGTGAGAGAGAGGAGAGAATTGATGTATTGTTTATCGGCAAAATGTTTTGACCGAAATATTTGATTATAACTGTTGTTAGGCGTACTTAGTGACTCAACACGCAACGGATCGGATACCACACTTGTGAGCAGGCCGGATGGAAGAGTACTCCCACTCTCGGTACCAATCAGATCGCAAGATTTATAGAAAACCGCCCGCTCACGCACTGAGTAAAAATAATTGATATTTGATCTCTAGCTTAATGTGCACTCTACTGTTATGTCCATCGCTTTTTGTCATCGGGATCCGCCCTTAAGGCCGGTTTACACGGAGGCGGGGGACCCCAGGTAGGTGAGGTAACCCGCCTAGCCGTGGTCGAAAAATAAAACGCGTTTACATGCACTCTTACAACCCCGGGGTGCTGGGGTGAGGTTTCTTGAGGTTTTTTTTGCGTTTGCAATTAAGAAGTTTGAGGAGAGGCGTCCCAAGCTCATATCTTGAAAAAGACGAAAGATTTATTCTCGGACACATGTGTATTTATTCATGAAAGCGTCACGCGTTGTGTTACGCGGTGTTTGGTTTCGCGAGGAATCGTTGACTTAATACTTTATACGGAATAGTTTGGGAAACCAAATATGTTCGATTTAAAATGCTAAATATTCCGAAATGTGAACATTTTACACTCCTTGTGTGTCCGTTGCGGTTTCTGGTGATTTCTGCCGTGAGACGGCTAGGAAATGTACAAAGTTTTAAAACATACATGTTTCGCTTTTGAGCTTTTTGCCATGAACACGACCCCGGCTAGGCGGGTTACCCCATCTTGACACATTTACATGGCAAATTGTCACCCCGGCTGACAGGGTTACCCTACCTGGCAGACCGGGCAACCCGCCTAGGCGGGTCACCCCACCTATCATGAAAACGTGATAGGTGGGAATTGGATCACGGATCGAAAAAGAAAAGTTTTGAAAAAATGAAAAAAAAATCGTTTATAAAATAATAATAATACTAATATGAGTAAAAAAAAACTAAAACTGGTTAATTAAAATTAGAAATGTTGCTCGACAAGGCCTAACTGGAAATTTTTTTGCCCCAAACCCCATGAAACCACGGGATACCAATCTGAGCGATCCAAGTTCGAAGGTATTTCGTTCAGATTGCAATCTCAGATTGGTTTTGTCCTTAACGAACCAGAAAATTTTATGTAGATCGCAAAATCAGGATTAAGATTGGCCAATAGGAACGCAACCTAAATCATTTTGAGGGGAGGACTGAACGGTGTTTCGCACATGAATTGTGCTCTAAAGACCACGAGGTTTTGAACTGTGTGCTTTAGCATTCGAATTAGAGAGGGACTTTCTTTCTGTAGTGTGCAGCGTCTGAGCTGAGATTCGTAGGTTAAAGCGTTAAAAATAGCTCAGTGTCGGATGAAAGATAACATTGTTCTGACTTTATACCAAATAATTTACTGAGACTTGTAGGCGATCCAGTGTCAACTCTTTGTGCAGGAGTGAACGGATGGTGAAGCGCGCAATCATGCCACGTGTGTTGAATGACCTTCCAAGTTTGGAGAGGCTGGAAAGCGTATGCCATATAAAGTTGACTTGTGTATAGTTCAATCTTTAATAAACAAAAAGGGACTGTTGGACTATAATAACAGTACAAGCATTTCTGCAACCTTTTGGACGAAGGTACTCATTCATATTTTTGTGAGGGAGAGATGTTTGTTTGCTTTTCTTTTCAAATTGCACCTTTTTTTTTCATTCAGCTCACCGTGTTTTTTTAAAAATTTTGAATTAGCTTCTGTCATTAGATATCACATCACCGATATGACCCAATCGTAACTTATCTCATAGCCAGGGCGTCCTTCTTTTGCTGTATACTTGGTGTCTTTATTTAATATGATTCTAATGCATCTATTTTTGTTAAATTTGATTATTTTACAATTCTTTTTTTCCTAAGTTTTTAAGCATCACTTTCTTGCGTTTCACTTTTCGTGGGCAGTTTGGTTCCCGCAGTTAAAATTCCACGATTCAAGTTCTTTTCAAATTTTAACTAAGGCATTTTATGGCTGAGTATATGTTTACGTCAGTCAAATTTTTCTATTTGTCATTAGTTCCATCTCCTTTGATGGGGCTGAAAATACCTACAAAAATCCAGTAACAAATGCCTGTAAATTTTGGAGAAGAATTTTCCTGATTTCGGTAAGTCATGCCCACGCACAAAATTCACCAAGGGTGTGGAGTTTCAGCTCTAACCTATGTTCCTTTCAGTCACAGGAAGCTAGCGCATGACGCTTTTATATTCGAGGATAAAAGGCCTCGCATCAGGCACTGAAATGACAGGGCGCGAGGTTCATCATTTCTTTCATTTCGACATGCCACCATACTTAGTTATTCTGCTCCTTTCGATAAACATTGTTGTTACTGCGAACGAATGCAATAACTGGTTGTTTTCGTTGCTTTGGGGGCAATAACAAGTCAGTCAAAGAAATTAGTCTGCGGAAAACATGTGTTATGTTGGGTATGAGGTGAAAAGGTGAAAAATTTGAATAAGTTTCTATTTAGATTTGCTTAGGGTGAAAACATCTTTAACACCATTATTTTTTATTTAGACTGATATTAAGATACAAAATATAAGCCTCCACTGTCATTTTCAATGACTAAAGATAGCCATTGTGTTTCTTATTCCAACAACTTATTGCATTGGACACCTTCTTATTTTGAATTGAATTACAATGAAGCCATTAACTAAAGTTAGTATGCTTGAAAGTTGAATCAAGTGAGCATTATTTTTACCCCAGTCTTGGTTGCTTATCAATAAATCACAACCTGTCAGTCATTTTACTCCATTTAATAAAATCCTTCATGACAGGAATAAAGGAACATTCACTGTCAGAAAAAAAAAGTTGATGGAATACAATTGTTTAGACAAAAAAAAGAAGCTTTATGCCTTTTTGTTATATTTCATTTAGTAATATAAAACATGCCCTCTAAATCATGTATGATTAGGTTTATTTTAGATTTAAAGGGAAAAACCAATGGTTTGCCTAATTTACCTTGATTTTGTTTTCCATAACTGCCAGGATAATGCTGCCAAAAAACTGTAAATATAACAATTAGTAGTGTTGTTTGGTTTACTGTTTGAATAAAAGGGAATTGAAACACAAGCTGACTTAGAGGCAAGATGCAAATTAACCACTCAGCTATTGACACAATTCAACAAAATGCAACAAAAGTCTCAGTCAGTCATTAAATCAGCTGGTTTACTTACATTGGCTAAATTTAGCTCCCAGTATACAATACCAAGTCCACAAGTCAAAGAAAACTTTGAAATTGAGTGCTTTTCAAGATGCATGTAGGTGGCAGTCATTTTGATGGTCTTAACAATACCTGATGTTGTTTTGGAAGAAACCAAACTTTTATTACCAGGCTGTAAGATCATAATAGGAAGAATGTACGTGCAACATCCTAAATTCACAAAAATTTGGAAAAAGTGTATTCTATCCGCTTTACAAAGACAGTAATCTGTAATTCTCACCTGAGAGAAAGCATATGAACTGCCAGCTGACCAAAAGACCAATCTTGAGGTATTTCATGCGGCAGCTAAATTATCATTGGTTTTAGCTCAGCTTCCCACACTGATCCAGAATGGCAACTTTTTCTCCCAAGCCTGCTTTCTTGCTTTAGACAACAGATGGGACTGATAAAACACTCAAGTCATCATGGTATGATCCAAAACATTTTCTCTTCTCCTTTTACTTAAAAGAAAGTGCCATTAATGATAGCCATAGGGTACTGACATTGAATAAATGTCTGTGAATCAGAATGGAGATCACCAGCAATATTTGATGCATTTCAACAGAAAAGAGGATATTTGGGAAACCTTCAACACAGCCATCATTAACATGGTACATGTACCTAAAACAGTTATGCTTCAGAGGCCAAACAGGTTTATAGAAGAAACCCAAAGGAGGGGGAGCCACAGTGACTACTCATTGAGTGCACTCCTTCCTCAAAGTCCTCCAGCAAAGCATTCTTAAAAGATACTTAAGGATTGAAAAGATGATATCAAATTACTATAGAGACACTTGCAGAATATGCAAGTTTGGCTCACCTTGCCCATAGTTGCAAGGCAAAGGATTAACAAATAAATATTGTCTTCTAATGTATGCATATACACAAAGTATTTTCTTGGTCTACTTTGCCTTTTTCTTTCTCTTGGTCTTCTATTCATTAAAAGCTCCAGCTTCAGATGTAACACCCTGACAGGAAATCTTTTTTGGTGACATTCTTGGTCAGTGTTTTTGTAAATTTTCATAATGGTGGCAAGTGTTACTGGCATCCTAAATGCTCTAAACTGCATTATGAGCCTTTAGGTTCCCAACAAAATTCATCCATGAGTGCTTGATGAAATGACAATCACTCATTTTTCATCATCACTGCCATTTGGCACATTAAATCTCCATGCCAAACTTGGGCACGAGCCTTTGTAATACCCTTTACACCAACGAATCTGGAACCATTTTTCACACTGCTCCTCAGTCAAACTCTCTTTGTTCATGGTGAACAAGCCACAGATTTTGCAAATAACTCTCTGGTAAGTTCGTTAGCATTCCCGGCTGAGATGACAAGTCCTATTAGGCATTGATTTGAACTATTTGTTTGAACAATCACTTTGCTCTTCGAATTCACCTGCACGATAAATTAGTAATCTCAAGTGGTTAGCTTCCTCATTGTCATGTTGTGCGAAAATTTCAACGAGCTTACCTGAGACACATGTTGCACGGGCATGCATATGTAATTTCTCCTCAGAAACTTTCCATTGATACCAGGCGATGTATTTTCGCTTTGCTCAAGTCATCCAAAATACTACCATCCACAGAAGTGGTATGAGCTAAACAAGTGTAAACTTTTCGTTAAAAGGCCAGCACTGTTGGTTATGGACTCTGTTCGTCCCCAACATCGTCCTGGCCCAAAACCGACCAACGTGGTGTGTTTACAACTTAAGTTCTCTGGTGGCGTTGCTCCCCCTTTCAGCTCTTTACGTTTGTTTGTTTTTGTTAACAACCTCAAGCCTTTTTGTTTTCATGATATGCCTTTCTTACTCGCTTTGAATGACACAATGTAATCAAACTGACAATAAAAGCCTCGGGGCATTAGCATCCTGGCCTTAAGAGACAACATTTAGAAATCTGGAATGAACTTGGGGATTTAGAGGACTTTGGCACAGTGGAACACAGAGCTGCACAGAGGGAAACGGTGATTTTTAATGGCTGGTTACCACTACAACTGGGTTTTTTGATTCTGCAAGAGAATTTACGTAAAGACTAGCCACCTATTCAAAATCTAGGCAGACATTTGAAGGTTTCCTGAAAAAAAATTACAAATATCAAAATTACCTCAGGTCTTTGGAAGGAACATTAAATAGTAGCAACTCTAAATCAGCAGTAAATCCTTATTTTCAAAGGGAGTTACCGGAATCCGCCCCAACACACATTCGAAATAACCTGGCACGTCACCTAGGCTGTCGTAAGGTCAGCAATCAACAATGGTCAGCATATTTGGATTTAATTAGACTATCCGGATTGTTTGGATTTTTTAGCCAGTCGGAACAAAAATCTGAAAAGAGTTCGATCCGTACAGCAAACAGCCTGGACATGATCTTTTAAATACCAAGAGTAAAACATGATGGCGGTTTCTGTAGATTACCCTCAGCCTTTTACTCCTTGCTGGAAGAACTTGTTAACGAAAATAGAGAAACAAGGAAAAACATCATGAAAATGGATGACTTGCTCATTTTTATGATGCTTGAGAAGCATAAGAAACTCACAGAAATGTTACAGTTCGGACGGATGCTTACGCCGTTTAAAAAAATTAAATGCTGTTTACGGTCTTAACGGGGCGAATTTCCAACTTCTCCGTTTTATTCTTAACACTCAAGTTGAACTTCAATAATCTTTAAGATTTCTGGAGGAGTGCAGCAGTGTTCAAGAACCTGGACTGACCTTAAAATGACAATGGCTCATTTTTCATTTTTTGAACCGCCATGTTAATCGCTAGTGTCCATCACGTAATCGGGATCAAAAGTGATATACCGACCCGTGCGATCCAAGTTCGGAGGGAGATCGTTCCGATTGCCGCAATCGGAACGATCTCCCTCCGAACGTGGCAGCCCTAGACTTGTTTTGTCCTTGATGAAGCAGAGAATTGTATGTGGATTGGAAAATCAGGATTTAGATTGGCTAATAGAAACGCGACCTCGATCACTGTAAGAGAAGGAATGAACGGTGTTTCTTACATGAGGTTTGTACTAGAGGCCACGAGGTTTTGAAGAGTGTGCTTTAGTCTTCGAATTAGAGAGCGACTCTCTGTAACTAAAATGTAACGGCGCCTCAGCTGAGATTCGTGGGTTAAGGCGTTTAAAATAGCCCAATGTCGGCTGAAAGATACTTTATTACATTATACTGTATTTGATCTATTAGGTAATTCCAGCCACACCAGTTTGATAACGAAATTTCCTCAGAATATATCATTACATCCAATGTGACATGCTGCCATCAGAGGTTTAGTTCGTTAACAAAATGTTCAAAGAGAACCTTCACTCAGTTAGAGTGTAGGTTGCCGCTGACTTTGGTTTGTACATGGCGCAGAATGGCCGGACATGTTTAATATTCATACCTCATTGGCAGCGCATTAGCATAACAGCAACGCGATGGAGCGCGAAATTTGAAAGCGGCAATCAACATTTTAAAGGAAATGGCGCCAGAAAAGGACGAACATCTAACTTTAATTTTCATTCTAAAAGGGTCTCAGTTGGAAACGTCAACACTTGTAGGCTGCAAAATAAAGAAGAAAGTACACTTATTTAATCGAGACCCTCAGGAAAAGGACACGACTTCTAAAAAATATTGGAAATCTGCGTTATAATGTGAATGATTTTGTAGCCATTTTACTCGACAATTCAAAACTGTTTAATTTCTATTTTAAATTTCTAGTTTCTGGCCCAACTTTATATGAACTTGTAACTTAAAAAAGTTTCTTTAAAAAGGAAATTCAGATACTAGGCTTAAATATCAAGAATAGCGGGAAAGGTTTTACTTGGAATTTGCGCTCCCTGTATTTCGTATCACATAATGAGCAGAAAATGAGCCATTTTGCTCATTAATATACATGTGTTCAGCTTCTCTAAGTTCCTGAATCTTGCTTTAGCGCCGCCTTCACCGCTCCCTTGGGTGTTCACTAACGGCTGAAATGTCTTTCAGTCTGCCGGATTTTGTTGCGGTCTCTGATGAACATTTACGAGTGCGGCCGACTGTCAGAGTCGTAAGCTATCACCAGAGAAAGGAAATACATTTGGGACTCGGAGTGGTGATTTAATATGCAAATCAATATTTGACGTTGTAACCAGCTTTGCCCATTTTCTGAGTAATCCTTCAAATCCTGCTCACTCGCGAGACAGCTGCTAAAGCCTTTTGAAATAACTGAAATAATGATAAATTTTTGAGCTTCAGTGAACGCGTTTATTGTTGTTGGGTTTTGAACACCGATTTGAGTGAAACATTTGCTCATTTTTCGAAGAGAAAATTAACGTAAATCAGCGTGTTAGACCGCTGAGAGCGCGAACAGAACGGCAAAATTTTTGCTTGCGCCTTGTGGTAAATACTTTAAAAGAATTCACATCAACATTTCACGCGTAAGGAGTTATTTATATTTTTGTGGCTGTGTAAAAAGTCAAGTGCCGCCGCGAAAGTTTGAGGTGCTTTCTGCGTCCTTTGTCGACCTTACGGGAGTGCGGCTCGAGAGTGCCGTTACGCAGCCAAAACTATTTCAGTCGCCAAATTTGTCTAGCACAGGATAAAGAGAAACAATGTTAGGTTGATGCCTTTTCAAAGAATGTAAAACAGCAAACATTTGCAAGTCTTCTCTGCTAACAATGGGGTGATACACGACGTGTACTGCTGGCCGACTTAGAGCATTTATCGCGCTGGTTTGTTTTCCGTGCAGAATCGCTTAACATGTTAGTTACTCTCAACATGGTGTAATGGATGAACAAGTAGTTCGTCTTAAGAACATAGTTATACCTTGCAATTAATGAATTATCGTTCAGTTTCAAAAGCGCGAGAACTAAAGAGTCATTTATTAGAGATTTGTTTGTCAAGTCGCGCAGCAAAGCTTGCGACAATCGGAAATTCCCTGTGGACTAGTTTCAGCACAGTCTACCTCCACAGTATAGAAAAGTTCTTTTTGGAGCTCCATTCCGTTTAAGTGAATTCAAGCGGCAATATTCGGACCAAATATAACATTCCCAAAGCGTATAACACTGCTCTGACTTTATACAACTAATTTACTGGGACTTGTGAGCGACCAGAGTCAGTTCTCTGGTGCAGGAGTGAACGGATGGTAAAGCGCGCAGTGCCATGCGTGTTTAATGACCTTTCAAGCTGGAAGAGGCTGGAAATCTTATGCCATAAAAAGTTGACTTGTTTATAGTTCAATCTTTAGTAAACAAAATGGATCGTTGGGCTATAATAACGATACAAGGATTTTTGCAACCTTGTAATGAAGGAACTCATTCATATTTTTGTGAAAGAGAGACTTACTTTTGCAACGAGACATAGTAAAGTGTGGCTACCTGTGCTCACCTACTCCCTTTCAAACATGTGATACATCATGTGTGGCGATAATATGTTGAAGACTGATGTAAAGAAAACCTTGGAAAACGGTGGGAAAATGGGATGATTGAAGAAATAGCAATCATCATAAGTCATTCAACTAGGCTTGTTTCTTTTGTTTTGTTTGCTTGTCTTTTCAAATTGCAACTTTTTCATTACATTATTTCTCTGTTTTTTTAAAATCAGTATTTTGAATTAACTTCTGTCATTAGAAAATACATCAGCGATATGACCCAATCGTAACTTATCTCGTAGCCAAGGCGTCTTTTATTTGCAGGACACTTTATGTCTTCATTAGACATGATTGTAACGCATCTACTCCTGTCAAATTTAATTATTTGACAATATTTTGTTCCTTAGTTTTTGAGCGTCACTTTCTTGCGTTTCACTTTTCGTGGGCAGTTTAGTTCCCGCAGTTTTAAATAAAATTCCATGATCTGAGTCCTTTTCAAAGTTGAACTTAGGCGTAATGGCTGAGTATATTTAAATCCTGTAACAAATGCCTGTAAATTCTGGAGTAGGATTTTCCTGATTTCAGTGAGTCACGCACAAAGTTGGTCGAAGATGTAGAGTTTCAGCTCTGACCTATGTTCCTTTCAATTCTAGTTGCACCCTTTGTTTCAGTGACAGGAAGCTAGCGAGCTTCATCAGTTCTTTCACTTCGACATGCCACCATACTAAGTCATTCTTCTCCTTTCAATAAACATCGCTGTTATTGTAAAGAAATGCAATAACTGGTCGTTTTTGCTGCTTTGGGGGCAATAACAAGTCAGTCAAAGGGATTACTCTGCGCAAAACATGTGTTATGATTCAATAGTGTTAGCTCTTTGTATTAATTTTGGGCCAGGCGCAGTTAAACTTTAATAACAAGCTCGCTCATTGGTCTTGAAGATTCACCACTCCTCCATGAATATATTCGAAATAATTTTGCATTGATGGGAAAGCTACATGATTTTTATCAAGAGAGCAAATAAGGCTTCTAGTCAGGATTTGTTATTTATCAGCATCACAAGATCTAGTGGGACGGATGTGGTCACATGTTGAAATTCAACTTTAAAGTCTCTTTAACCCGAGAAT